GGGGGGGGGGGGGGGGCATGAGTGACTCGCAACCCACAGACGCCAGAGCGCGCTCGCTCCGCTCTCCGCGCCCGGCCGTCTCGCTCCACCCTCAGCGCGAATTATATTTATTGAGAGTGGCCCCTTATGCTTATGCCAAGCCCAAGGGTAGGGTACTGTAAGAGCGGCCGCACACTGCTCGGTAGACGGTACCCCCCCCCCCCTGCACATCTAAAGTTTAATCAGTTTTATGTATATAAGTAGAGGAACGAGTCGAGAGGACAGGGAGGGACGTGTCGCACGATTTTTTGTTTTTTTTTCTGTTCCAAGATGGCCGCCCAGCGCCTGGAGTGCCCCGTCTGCCTGGAGGTGCAGGACGGGCGGCAGCACCAGTGCCGGGAGGGCCACGTCTTCTGCGCCTCCTGTGACTCCAGCCTGCGAGCCCCGCGCCTCTGCCCCGAGTGCCGCATGGCTCTCGGACCGCTGAGCCAGGCAATCCGAAACAGAAGCCACGAGGAGCGGATCGCGGCGCTGCCGGCGGCGTGTTCGCACTGCGGGCTGGCGACGACGCGCGGCGAAGTCGCCGCCCACGAGCAAGGCTGCCCGCAGCGGCCGCGCACGTGTCCCGCGGCGGAGGCTGGCTGTGCGTGGTCGGGGCTGCTGGCAGACAAGGCGGCGCACGAGGCGACGTGCCCCTTCGCCGTGTGCCAGCGCATGATGGCGCCGCTGCGAGCCCAAGTGGCGGCGCAAGGTGCTGAGAACGAGCGGCTGCAAGCCCAGTTGGCGCCGCTGCAAGCCCAGTTGGCGCCGCTGCAAGCCCAGGTGGCGCCGCTGCAGGCCCAGGTGGCGCCGCTGCAGACCGAGGTGGCGGAACTGCGGGCGGAGAACTCCCTGCTGCGGTCGCGCGTGGCGGCGCTGGAGGCTGGCGAGGGCGGCGAGGAGGGAGGGCGGCGGGTGCGGCAGCGCGTTGGCGCCGCGCCGCATGACGCGCCTCCGAGCAATGCGGAGGTGCGGGCGATGGACGTTGCGGCGGCGGCGGCGGTGCTGCGGGCGCACGTGTCGGTCAGCCGCGTTGCTGTTGCGGCGTGCGAGCGCTTGGCGGAACTGTGCATGGATGAACAGAACGATCATCTGGCGGCGGAGGCGGGCGCGATCGAGGCGGTTGCGGCGGCGATGCAGGCTTACCCGCAGGAGGCGGAGGTGCAGAGGCATGGCTGCACGACGCTGCGCATCGTGTGCTTCGGCAACGACGCCGCAGGGCTCGCACGCAAGCAGCGCGCAGCAGGCGCGGGCGCGATCGAGGCGGTGGCGGCGGCGATGCATGCTCACTTGCAGGTGGCGGGCGTGCAGGAGCATGGCTGCACGACGCTGACCAACGTGTGCTCCGGCGACGACGCCGCAGGGCGCGCACGCATGCAGCGCGTAGCCGACGCGGGCGCGATCGAGGCGGTGGCGGCGGCGATGCAGGCTCACTTGCAGGTGGCGGGCGTGCAGGAGCATGGCTGCGGGGCGCTGGGCATCGTTTGCTGCGGCACCGACGCCGCAGGGCTCGCACGCAAGCAGCGCGCAGCAGGCGCGGGCGCGATCGAGGCGGTTGCGGCGGCGATGCAGGCTCACCCGCAGGTGGCGAGGGTGCAACAGCAAGGCTGTTTGGCGCTGTGCATCGTTTGCTGCGGCACCGACGCCGCAGGGCTCGCACGCAGCCAGCGCGTAGCCGACGCGGGCGCGATCGAGGCAATAGTGGCTGCGATGCAGGCTCACTCGCTGGTGGCGGGCATGCAGGAGCAAGGCTGCGCGGCGCTGGCCAACGTGTGCTCTGGCACCGACGCCGCAGGGCGCGCACGCAAGCAGCGCGCAGCAGGCGCGGGCGCGATCGAGGCGGTTGCGGCGGCGCTGCAGGCTCACCCGCAGGTGGCGAGGGTGCAAGAGCAAGGCTGTTTGGCGCTGCGCATCGTGTGCTGCGGCACCGACGCCGCAGGGCTCGCACGCAGCCAGCGCGTAGCCGACGCGGGCGCGATCGAGGCAATAGTGGCGGCGATGCAGGCTCACTTGCTGGTGGCGGGCTTGCAGGAGCAAGGCTGCGCGGCGCTGGCCAACGTGTGCTCTGGCACCGACGCCGCAGGGCGCGCACGCAAGCAGCGCGCAGCAGGCGCGGGCGCGATCGAGGCGGTGGCGGCGGCGATGCAGGCGCACCCGCAGGTGGCGAGCGTGCAGGCGCAAGGACAGCGCTTGCGCGATCTGCTTGCCTGAGAGGTTGAGAGGCTGTGGCCCTCTCTCAAAGCCGTTGTAGTTGAGAGAGCGGCGAGGCTTGAAGGAGCGATCTAGCCGTTTCTCGCTCTCGTGTCCTCCACTCAGGTGATGTGTCCTCGTGTATTCACGTCGTAATGGGTTGAGCTCCCGAAAGTTGGCGATGATCTTGCATGTCTGCGCAAGCTATTGCATGGCAGCGATGCCGAGCGGTCTCGTGATTGGGTCGTTCGACTCGCCGTGCTTCGGTAGTCAAGGCACGAGGCTCGAGGGGGTGTGTGGCCTAAGGGCTCTGCTCGCAAGCTAGGAGTGTGGTGCTAGCCGTCGCCCACCCTAACCCTTGGGCGTCTGCTTCTTCCTATCTCTCTCTTCGCAATATACCCCCCCACACCGCCGCTGGGGACGACACGCTGTGCGGAATCGGATCGAGCCCATGCACCGGGCAAAGGACCTTAGGACGCTGCAGAAGCGGTTGGAGAGGCAGCCGGCGTCTGCCGTCCCAAAACGAGTCCCAGCGCTGGTTGGATATGCGCGTCGGCTCGCCCGAGGACTGCTCTGTCGCGACCCTCCCGTCGTGCCGCAGCCTCCGACGAGCTCTGCAACCGAGGAGAGTGAGGGTGCGCCTCCCCTCACTGCTGGCCTGGCTGCGCACCGCCCCACAAAGCACCCCCTCGAGCATCTCTACAAGTACAAGTGCAAGGGCGACCTTCTCCAACCAAGTCGTCAACGCGCCCGGCGGCTCCGGCAAGACTTTAGCCTTGGCCACCCTCCTTGCGGAGCAGGAGGATATCCGCTCTCGGTCGGCAACGATCGTGGCAGCTAGTCGAGGGACTCGGTAGTTGTGACCCCCCTGAGTGAGGACAGGAGAGAGAGAGCTTTTGTGGTTGGTGTATACGCAATAACGGGACAGGGTAGTCGTTCTCTCTAGCTCCCCTTTCTAGCTCTTAGCATGAGCTGCGCCCTGTGTCCGACCCCTTTTGCGCAGCAACACCTTAACTTTTAGGCCCTCCAAATTCGGGTCGGAGCGTAGCGGAGTGGGCCCCGAGTTTGAAAAAGGCGACGGACGCTTGCGTCCTATCCTCCAACAACGCCTCCCCGGCGCAGAGGGGCCCCCGGAGGGATGCTCAACCGCTCCACGCCACGCCGCTTGCGGCGGTCCTATACCTCGAGAACCTCGAGAAAAGAAAGAAAGAAAACGGACCACCCAGGGGAGGGATGGGAGGACGGCACGCCGCCACCACACAGGGATTTTAAGGAGAGGGGTGTGATGCGCTAGCCGTCGCCCACCCTTGGGCGTCCGCCTCTTCCTATCTCTCTTCGCAGTCTCTCTCCGATTCTCGCTGCAACCTTCATGCCACCTCGCGGTCGTCCCACTCTCGTCGTTCTTTCCCTTGTCACTTCTTCCTCTGTCGCGTCGCTCTCCTCTGCCTCGTTCTGCGACGACGCCGCCGCCTGCCGGTCCCTTGTTCTCGCGGCTTCTTGCGCCTTTCGGCGCAGCTCCGCCCTCCTCGCTGCATATCCTGGCCCCTCGAGTCTATCGAGCTCTCCTCGCGCAAGGACGAGTCTTCTGACGCCCACTGCGATCATTTGCCGCCCAGTCATATCGTTGCTCAGGTCCACTCTCTCTTCGGACACTTGTGCCTTCACGGATGATGCCGGCGCTGGGGTCCCCTTCGGGTGCATCGTGACGGCTGACAACGGGATTTCCACTGGTTCGTCCTCCTCGGAGTCATCTTCCCCGGCTTCCTTCCGCTCGGCTCTACGTTCGGTACGTTCGGCGTGGCTCACCCTCCATGCCGTGAACAGGCGCTTTATCCACTCTATATTCTTCTCTCGTTCCTCTGCCCGTGCCTTGGTCTTGTCGTTGTTTCGCACCCATGTCTGTGTATGGCAATCGAGGCTGCCTTCCCCACTACCTGTAGTTCACTCGTCACCTCCCCCGCGAGCTCCCCTCTCTTTCTTTCGGGTATGGGGTCCGTGAGTGCGGGCAGCGTGCAGGCAATCACGGGCGCTATTTTGTCGTACTCCTCTTCGGCGAGCGCTCCGAATCTAGACCCTATTGCCTTTAAGGAGGCTGCCCGAGAACCTCGAGAACCAGCTCCGCTGAGAAGGCCGTTATTTCTCGCGGGACACCACGACCGCGACGACGCCACGACCGACCGACCCCCCCACCTCAAAATTCTTTTCAGCCTCAAAATTCTTTTCCTGTGCCAGTGCGCGCCAGTCCCGTGCCTCGTGTCGTACCAATGCGATAGAATTCTTTTCCTGGCGTGATACCCCCGTATCGAACGCCGTTTGCACGCCGCGACTACGCCCTTACCACGACGAGGCGGCCTCGCCGCTGGCTTTTGTGTTATATATGCGCCATTTCTTCGTCCTCGTAATCGCCGGGCTCGCCAACGGGATCGAGCCCTCATCGCGGGTCTCTCTCGCCGGCTCCGCATCCGGTTCGGACGTGGTTCAGCAAGTCAACACCAGCGGCAGAGTCAGCAGTGGAGGCGGCGGCGGCGGCAGCGGCCGGCAGGCGGCCCGGCGGTCGCTTGAGGGCGCCAGCACGAGCGGCACGATCATTGGGTGCACCAACCCGGTCCAGGTGCAGGGCGGGTGCGCCGCCTCGCTCGGCCTCCTCAAGGGCGACGGCCAGGAGGCCGGCTACCTGCTCATCACGCCGCACACCTCCACCGACGTCTGGCTGGCCGACGCCTCCAGCGGCGACATCGTGCACAGCTGGAGCACGCCGTACGGCACCGGCCACGCCGTCTACCTCGCGCCCGGCGGCGACATCGTGCGCCTCGAGAACAACTACTCTGCTGCCTACGACATCGGCATCGCCGGCGGCGCGTCGCATATCTCTGCGTACGACGCGGCGGGCGAGCTCCTCTTCACCACGGGCGTCAACCAGGCGACGCACCGCCTCCACCACCAGTTCGAGCTCTCGACCTTCGACGCGCGCGCCAAGACGGGCACCCTCTTCGCCCTCGCTGCGTACAAGCTCAGCTGCGAGGAGGCCAGAGGGCTCGGCCGCACCAGTTGCGAGGAGGAGGACGGCCTGTACGTCGAGGCGGTGCTCGAGATCGACACGGAGGGCGACGTGGTGTGGGAGTGGTACATGAGCAACCACGTGTGCGACGGCTGCGACAACCTGACCAAGGTGCCGATCAACTCGGGCTCGGGGAAGCAGCAGGCCGACTGGGTGCACGCCAACTCGCTCGTGTACGACGCGGAGAAGGACGTGCTGCTCATGGGCGGCGCCTACACCAACGAGGTGCCCGTCTCCCCCTCGAGTCATTCTCCCACAGACCGCCCTCGCCCCCCCCACCACCACCACCAGCCCCTCGAATCCTCCTGCCCCACCCGACCCCGCCTCTCCCGCCTCAGCAGCAGTACTCTCCCACCTTCAGGTGTACGTCATCAATCACACCTCGCCGAGCGAGACGCCGCTGATGGGCGACGGCGCGCCGGCCTCGCTCCTCTACCGCTTCGGCGCGGGCCGCTTCGGCGAGCAGCACGACGTGCGCGTGCTGCCGTGCGAGGACGGCCTCTGCTTCACGGTCTTCAACAACGGGCGGTACGAGAAGAATGGCTGTACGTTCGACGGGAACGGAGTGCAGTCGACGGAGTGCAGCAGCGAGGTGCTGCTCACGACGCTGCCCCTCGCGGTCCTCGACCCCAGCCAGGCGACGCCCCCCGCGACCGAGGTGGTGGTGCAGACGCTCTTCAACGCGAGCACGCTGCCGGACGGCCTGCTGGGCGACGGCTCCGGCAAGTTCCTGCGGCTCACCGACGGCAGCGACGTGCGGGAGCTGGACCCCTTCTTCAGCCTCATCCTGGCGAGCGCGCAGCTGGTCGGGGAGCCCTTCACGAATGGGTCGTACCTCTCGGTGATGGTTGGCACGACCGGGACTCTGTTCGAGGCGTATTGGAACGCGTCTGGCCTCGGCGCCTACTCGGACGTGCGCCTCGTGTGGCAGGTGCCGGGGGAGAACCCGCTCGGCTCGGGCAAGCCGGGCCCGGGCAAGGCGCCGAGCGTCCTCAACTGCACGCTCCCCGGCCTCCAATTCCTGTCGGGCACGCCGAACGCGGGCTGGACGACGAGGGCGTTCAACGCGCAGCGGTACTCGCCCGACATCGTCGGCTGCCAGCCGCCTGTGTCGCCGCCGCCGTCGCGGCCCCCCTCCGCGTCGCCCTCGCCGACTCCGCCGTCGTCGCCCTCGCCGCCTTCTCCGCCGCCTGCCCCACCCGCTGCCCCACCCGCTGAACCCCCGCAATCACCGCCAGCCTCCGCCTCGCCCTCGCCACCACCGCCCTCTGCCTCGCCCTTGCCACCGCCGCCGCCATCCGCCCCCTCGTCTCCGCCGGCGCCGCCGTCGCCGCGGCCGCCGCCCCACCTGGTCTTTGTGCTGACGGACGACGTCGGCTTCAACGACTTTCACGACAGCTCCGACATTGGGGAGGCCTGGAACAACACGAGGGCGCTGCTCTCCGAGGCGATCCAGATCAACAGCACCTACACGGAGACCATCTCGATTCCTTCGCGCCGCTCCTTCCTCACGGGCCGCCAGGCGCGGCTGGTGACCCCCGGGAGGGAGGGGCAGGACTGGTCGAAGAACGAGACGACGATCGCGCACAAGCTGTTGGCGCAGGGGTACGTGACATACGCGATCGGCAAGTGGTTCGCTGGCTACACGAGCTGGACGATCGCGCCAACCGGCCGCGGTTTTGCGCGCTTCTTCGGGCAGTACGAGAACATTTACAGCTACAATTCGCCGTGCACCAAACCCGCCAAGAACGACGACAAGCCGCGCTGGGACACCTTCTACTCGGAGGCGATGCCGTTTGAGACGCGCGACGCGAGCTTCGAGGCGCCGTTCTTGCGGTACGGGCTAGAGGCGATCGGGCCCGACGGCAACGGGCGGTACAAGACGGAGCTCTACGACGACAAGGCGACCGCGTTCATCGAGCAGCACAAGCTGTACCACCCCGACAAGCCACTCTTCCTCTATTATGCACCCGTCCCGATTCGTGGCGCGGGCGGCGACAAGAGCGACCACCCGGACGAGTACATGGACGCGCCGGCCTGCGCAGGGCTGGACAATGAGCGGCGCCGGAAAGCCTGCGCGGCCGCCGTCGCCCTCGACGAGTCGGTTGGCCACGTCGCATCGGCGCTCAACACCGGCGCGTACGCGAACGACGACCACGTCGTGGCGATGACCGCCGACAACGGCGCCGGCACGTGGAGGGTCTCGTCCGGCGGCAGCAACGCCCCCCTGCGCGGGAACAAGTACGAGGTCTTTGAGGGCGGCGTGCGCCTCAAGGCGCTCGTCTGGGGCCGGCATCCAGGCCTGGCAAGCAGCCCGCTGCTGGGGCAGACGTATACGGGCGGACGAGTGCAGCTCATCGACTGGCACGCGACCTTCGCCGCGCTCGGCGGGCACGTCGACATCAGCACGTCTGAGGAGGTGGTGAATGCCGGCCTCGACGTGTGGGCCGCGATCACGAACAACTCTGCGTCGCCGAGGACCGAGATGATTGTCGCTAAAGACTTCTACACCCGGCAAGCCGGCGTCGCCTTCTGGCAAGGGCCGTGGAAGCTGATGGTCGGCGTCGCGTACGGGCCCGACCCCAACTTGAATTGCGACGGGGGTGCTTACGGGCCGGCATGTGAGGTTCCTGGCGACAGCGTACTACAGCATTTGGGCCATTCGTTTCCAGTACGCTCGGGTGATAACGACGCCTATCTGCAGGTGCAGAGCTACGATGTGTACGTCGGCCCAACGTGTAATTGCTTGGAGGGCTTCTTTCCGAAAGGTCCATTCGGTTCGGGCTACTCCCTCTACAACATCGACAACGACCCGGAAGAACAGGACAACCGGACGTCCGACTTCCCCGAGCTGGTGGCGAACCTCTCCAGCCGGCTCGACGTGCTCTGGGACTCGGGCGTCCGTTCGGCTCCCGACCCAAACGACGATTGCGACGCCAGCCAAGCGGGAGTGGGGGTCACCGGTCGGCGGCTGGAGGAGACGTGCCCCGACTACCCTCAAGGCGTGGACACCTGCACCCTCCAGCTGCTCGGGGGAAGCTGCTCGGGGGACCCGCTCCTGCCGACCCGCTGCGTGCAAGAGGCCGGCTGGTGCACCTCCCCCGTCTGCGAGTCCGCCCCGAACGTGACGGTGTGGCCGTCGCTGCCGCCGCCGCCGCTTTCGCCGCCGTCGGACCCCCCCTCGCCGCCGCCGCCGTCCGCCCCGCCCTCGCCGCCGCCGCCGTCCGCCTCGCCCTCGCCGCCGCCGCTTTCACCGCCGTCGGTATCGCCGTCGCCTCCACCCCCGTCAGCCCCACCGCCCTCGCCGCCGCCTCCTTCCACCTCGCCCTCTCCGCCACCTCCCTCGCTTTCGCCCTCGCCGCCGCCACCGCCTCCGAGCGCATCACCGTCACCACCGCCGCCGAGCGCATCACCGTCACCACCGCCGCCGAGCGCATCACCGTCACCACCGCCGCCGAGCGCATCACCGTCACCGCCGCCGCCATCGCCGCCGCCACCGCCCGCGCCTCCGTCGCCGCCACCAGCAGCGCAGCTGCTCGACCTTCGCACGGCCACCACGTACCAGGACTCGAGCCTTTTCGACAAGCAGGCGCCCGTGAGCGACCTGTCATACGCCGACAGCACGACGGGACGGCCGTGGGCCGAGTGCGGCCAATACACAAGCCAATGGTGGGGCGTCGACCTCGGGAGCGAGGTGTATGTGCGCTACGTGCGGCTGCAGAACCGCAACGACTGCTGCGCGGAGCGGCTGACGGACGTCGACATCTATCTCGGCTCGACGGCGGAGACGTACACGGGCAACGCGCTGGTGAAGTCAGACGTGAGCGTGTCATCGAACGTCATGTTGGAGGTGGAGATCAACGCGTTGGGGCGCTACATCTACCTCAACCGGCCGTCTGCGGCGGGGCTGACGGTGTGCAAGTTCTACGTCTTCGCTTCGCCCGCGCCGCCGCCGTCACCATCACCGCCTCCCCCGCCGCCGTCGCCACCATCGCCGCCGTCGCCGCCGCCGCCTGACGTGCAGCTGCTCGACCTCAGCGCCGCCACCACGTACCAGGACTCGAGCTTGTTCGACAAGCAGGCGCCCGTGAGCGACCTGTCATACGCCGACAGCACGACGGGACGGCCGTGGGCCGAGTGCGGCCACTACACAAGCCAATGGTGGGGCGTCGACCTCGGGAGCGAGGTGTATGTGCGCTACGTGCGGCTGCAGAACCGCAACGACTGCTGCGCGGAGCGGCTGACGGACGTCGACATCTATCTCGGCTCGACGGCGGAGACGTACACGGGCAACGCGCTGGTGAAGTCGGACGTGAGCGTGTTGTCGAACGTGATGTTGGAGGTGGAGATCAACGCGTTGGGGCGCTACATCTACCTCAACCGGCCGTCTGCGGCGGGGCTGACGGTGTGCAAGTTCTACGTCTTCGCCTCAGCCGCACCGCCTGGGCCGCCGTCGCCGCCGCCACCGCCGCCTGCACCGTCACCGTCGCCGCCGTCGCCGCCGCCGCCTGAGGTGCAGCTGCTCGACCTCAGCGCCGCCACCACTTACCAGGACTCGAGCATCTACGACAAGCAGGCGCCCGTGAGCGACCTGTCATACGCCGACAGCACGACGGGACGGCCGTGGGCCGAGTGCGGCCACTACACACCCCAATGGTGGGGCGTCGACCTCGGGAGCGAGGTGTATGTGCGCTACGTGCGGCTGCAGAACCGCAACGACTGCTGCCCACAGCGTCTGACCGGCATTGACATCTATCTCGGCACGACGGCAGAGACGTACACGGGCAACGCGCTGGTGAAGTCGGACGTGAGCGTGTCATCGAACGTGATGTTGGAGGTGGAGATCAACGCGTTGGGGCGCTACATCTACCTCAACCGGCCGTCTGCGGCGGGGCTGACGGTGTGCAAGTTCTACGTCTTCGCAGGAAATCGCAATGGTCCACCTCCTTCCGCGTCGCCGTCGCCACCGCCGCCATCCACCCCGGGAGCTTCCTGCAAGGCGGGGCTCTGCACTGTCAACATCTTCGAGACGTGCTTCTACGACCCGGGCTGCGCGGCCGGGGGGCTGGGTTGCAACGCGGGCGGCAAGACACTCTGCCGCTTTTGCGAGTTTGGGCCCTACAAGGCGATCGAGTGCGCGCCCTGATCGGGAGCGTCCTGCCGCTGCCTGACTGAGAGTTGCACGCAGTCCGTCCTCAGCTCGCTGGCGGGGCCGCACGCCTGCGGGGAGCGTGTCGTCTGGCTGGAGAGGGCGCTCGATCTGCATGGTAGTGTACATGTAGTGTACAGAGCTGAACTCGTCGTGAGACGTGGACGATGTGGAATGTGAGTAGCGTTGACGCCTGTGGCGCAGAAATGATTTTTGTGATTTTCGTTCATTCGTATTGGCTTGACTTGACTTGACTCGCTGCGAGACGGGGCAGGCGCGGGGGCGCTCTCGTCCCGGCATAACTCAAGGTATCCGGATACTCTACAATCCGCGAGCTAGATCTCCAGCTACCTGGTACGCGGCGGGCGGCAGGCGGCATGCGCATGGGCAAGGGCCGGGTACATGTACCCTCTCACGAGACACAGGCCCTAACCGCACCGGGGAAGGGGCGCTTGGGAGCGGGGGCGGGGGCGGGGGCGGGGGCGGGGGCGGGGGGGCGGCGGGCTACGAGGGTAGGGGTTGGGATGCTGCCGCGTGCGCGCGCGCACCACACCACACAGGTGGAGGGAAAGACGGCGAGGAGGGGGCGGCGGCGGCGGCGGCGGCGGCGGCGGCGGCAGCGGCGGCGGCGGCAGCGCGCGCGCGGCGCGCGCGACGGAGGGGCGGAGCAGCGACGGCGGGCGCGGTCGCTGCTCCGTCTGTGCCAGAGACGCGCGCTCTGCCGCTCCACACAGTAGGGGCGGCCCATACTGGTCGGCATCCCGGCAAGGCCGTGGAGACGAGGCGCGCGATCTATGTGCCATGTCGGTCTGTCGCGGGCAGGAGTGTGCGCAATGTGCCAAATGATGAGCCCCTGCACGTCGTTCCCACCATGCACACCATGCTGTTTTACGTAGGTAGAGTCTAATTTGTCTATAGAGATCATTGGTTGGAGGTTGCTGTGTCGAGTACCCACGAGTTGTCGACGTTCTCTTGCACACTACTAGCCGAAGCGAAGAGGACGGGCAAGCCCTTGGCCGCGAAGATGAGCGTCGGCTCGTGAAGCACGAATCTCTGAAAGGCGGAGAGGGCCCACGCGATGCCGAAATCCCCCCTGGCGAGTTGCTCCGCCAAAGTGATGTTCGAGAGGCGGGCGTACTCGGCCGCGCCCTCCGCCCAACTCATGCCCTCCGCGTCGACGTTCGAAAAGTCGCCAGGCTCGAATAGCTCACACCCATAGGCCGCAAAGGTGAAGCTCATCGCGATCAAGGCGAGCAGGTTCGAGCCCCAGCCAAAGGTGATCAGCCGCATTGCCTTCCAGTCCCTCCTCTGCCACGAGTGGAAGGGGCTCGCCTATGGCCGAGACATAGACGATGCGTACCTCCCAGACCTCGCCGAGATCCACGCGCTCAGTCTATGTTTGCGGAGCCTTGAGCACAACATCGTTGAGCGACTGGTACGAGAAGTTTCGCTGCTCGGGCTCGAGCTTCTCCAGTCGGGCGCGGCTCTGCGCCGCCGCGACAGCAGCCCACGCCTTGAGGCTGACGCTGGCCTCTGACGCCCCCACCCCCGCCTCAGCCTCCTCCACGCTCGGCGCCACTTTGCACGAGGCGCGGCAGAAGCACTTGCCGAGCCACACCGGCCAGCAGAAGAAGGCTTTGACGCACCAGAGGCCGACCCGCACAAAGGTGGCCGGGTGATAGAGCCACGCAAAGGTAACCTATGGAACGTGGCCCGTGTTGAGGCCAGGGCGTGGGCAGGCACCTTCCCAGGTAGAGTCAGGCGTGACCATCGTGGGCACGACGATGAGGGCGCAGACGGTACCCGAAATCACCACGCCGACGATGTTGATGACGAGAGCGCCGTTCGACGCTTGATAGGTGAGGCAGAGCATCACGAGCTCGAAGGCCAGCGAGTTGACGAGAATCATCGTCGTTTGCGCGCGCCTGCGTGCGAGGTGGATCGGGGTGTGCATCCCGGGTTAGGATTGGATGAAAAGCGCCGTTCTTGCGTGCGTGTAGCTGCTGCCGCGCGTGTCGAAGAAGCACAGCCTATTGGACGCGCCACGCCACGTGTCGCTCGCTCGCCCGGAGGAGGCTCCGCGGCGGAGGGTCCGCCCACTAAGCCGTAACCGGCACTATAGGGTCTAATCAATAGAGGGCCTGGGGCCGAGCGCACCATACCCCCCCACCCCTGTCGAGGGCTGGCCTTGGGCGGCGTCGTCCGACTCTGGAGACCTCGAGGCGGGCAAAACTCACGTGCGCAGTGGCCAGTGCAGCTCGGGTGCGGATACGGGTGCGGGGGGGGGGGGGGGGGGGCACAAATTTTCCCCCCTCCCCCAGGGGGGGGGAACCCCCGCGAGGGTTTGGCACATGCCCAATGGCAAGGGGGGGGGCGGCGGCCCCATTGGGGGGGGGGGGGGGGGGCTATTTTTTTTTTACCCCCAAAACCAAAAGGGTTTCCCGTTTCCCCCCTCCCCGCCGGGGGGTTTTTTTCCCCCCCCAGGGGGAATAAATTTTTTTGTAAAATGGGCCCCCCAAACCCCAAACCCCAGATTTGGGTTCTTTAAAAAGGGGGGCCCCAAATTTTGGGGCCCCCCCCCCCTCCATATAAAAA